AATTCCTTTTTCTCCTTTTCAAAATATACACATCATACTAAGGGCATGTTTCCAGAGGGAAGGGGGCCAAAACCTAGATGTATCCCAAAAGTAAACTTATCTGTTTGGATGGTGCTGCTATGCATACCATGGTCATCAGTGCTCCCTTTTTGCCTCACTGGATTCATGGTGACTTGCTTTATCTGCAATAGAGAGGACATTGAATCTTTCACATATCTCACAGTCCAAATAACTTTCCAAGCAACTCAGGAAGAGAAATTATCTAACAAGCCCTAAAATAATGGTATTCCATAACAGAACAAATTCTTCCATGCTACCGATTCTACTAAACTTATTTTTGGTCTAGTAAGACTGATTAGAATACCAACCCAATAACCTAGATTTTGTAAGCAGAGTTGCTTACTTACTAAATAAAATTATACAGTGCTTGTACATACTGGTTTTGCTTCATACAGGCTTTCATATTGTTGATTCGTGCCCTGTAGGAAGGAGGCACCTGTAGATCACAAAAGAGCAAGGCAACGTTTCTTGAAGGAACCTGTGTAGATCCTGTTTCTCCTTTGTTTTCATGCCCTCGCCTGGTAAGGAAGATGAGGTGTAGTTCTTGATTTTTTTTTTCTGATCCCCATCATGTGATTGGTGTTCATGGTTCTCTTTTATCCTTATTTCAGATCTGTGATCTCCTCCTTTAATCATTTTTTGGCAGATTTGTTTCAGATTTCTTTGAAGCCCTCTACGATCAGTCTACAATAAGCAGCTGTAGCACATGTGATGTTTCTTTACCCCAAAACCAATCATCTCATCCCAGCGAAATCACTGATCACAGCAGCTGCTTGCATGTAGCTACGATGATAGTTAACTTCTTTCTTTACATTATGCTTGCATTTTGTTATTTTTGTTGCTGTCCTGTGCATACCATATTTGACTTGTGTTTGTTCTTATGAATTAGCACTCCTATTATGTTTTAGGGGCTTGGTATGCTCTAATTTGTTAAATAGATTGTAACTTTTCTTCTTGTAAATGATTTATTATCACATAAGAAAGTAAAGAAGTGTTTGTAATATCTTATGCCCATTCAAAGCAAAATCAATCTATGTGTATAATTTTTTCTTGGTTGTCTTCAAAATTCTTTGATCTCATTTTGCACTTGCTATTTTTTCCATTGACTGGTACTGTCCATTGTGTACTGCCTACTATCCGCTTGTGTAGCTACAATTGATCATATCTAATTTGCTTTTATATGGATTAGTGATGGAGCTGCTGCATTAGTTTTGGTGAGTGGGCAGAAGGTTCAAGAGCTTGGCCTGCAAGTCCTTGCAAGGATAAGAGGATATGCAGATGCAGCTCAAGTAAGCTACAATAACAGTTATCATAGCATTTGCCGGGAAGGGTAAAAGATCTTTACTAGTATATTGCTAGTGTTCTGTTAGTGAATTTTCAGTGTGTAAATAGGAACTTAGGTAACCCTGCAAATCCAAGCTTTGACATTGATACTTGACTCACAGATTATGAAAATTGTATCCATAAGTTCATATTTGAAAAGAATCCATAAGTTCATATTTGAAAAGAATCCATAAGTTCATATGCAGTCTATGTTATAACGATGGACTTCATAATGGACTATGGTGTAATGATGGACTTTTATGAATTATGACTTGTGATGATGTTCTAAATAATGGTCTTGTGTTTGTGGATGTATATATGTATATTTGTGGCGGTCAAATTCGAATTTGAATTATATATATATATGGTCAGATTTGAAATTGATTTTTTTTTCTAGAAAATTCACTGTAGGGGCGGTTCTTGATTGAACCGCCCTTACAAATACACACAGCAGAGGCGGCTGGTGATACAGCCGCCTTATAGAAGTCCACTACAGGGGCGGCTGATATTACCAGCCGCCCCTACAGATGACGCTGTAGGGGCGGCTGAAAACACCAGCCACCCCTACAGAGAGCACTGCAGGGGCGGTCAAGAAACCGCCCATACAGAAGCACCCTCTGTAGAAACACCCTGGAAAGGGCGGATGACGCAACCGCCCCTACAGAGGCTCTAGAGCCACCCCTACAACTAATTTATGTAGTAGTGAAGTAATGTCTTAATCAACTTAGAATAAACAGGGAAACCTCTTTCACGGTATTGTTGTTGATAACGTGTGAAACTTAGAATGTAAATGGAACACAATAAATGACAAGTATATCCAGTATATTTCATTGATCTGTGATGTACATATTTATACATCCGTACGGACGGCATGGGGAGATGCGCGCAGGCAACCACCCATGGCGCCGACGGTTCGAACGACAGAGGGAGAGAGGAGCGTGAGCGGTTTCCGTCGTGGGAGCGTTCCCAGGTGAGAGCAAGTCCTTCGTAGTTTTAACACAGAGCATGCCGGAGATGGCCTCGGGCCTCCGTGGGGCACGAGGACCAGGCGACGTAGAAGACGTGGGTGATCTCGGTCAGCGGCGTCAGGGCCTCGGGGACGGCAGTGGAGTCGGTGAGGTCGACGTGCACGTCGAAACGTGGGCAGAACGCAAACCTGAATTGTGGGCAGCGTGCACCATGAACCGGATGGCTGCACGCAAAACGTGCACACGAAACTTAAACAATCTCGAAGAAAATAAAAACTCGCACACATGTAATGGGCTAAACCAATCTAGCCCAATTTTTTAGACCCAGCCCAGTCGCCTTTCTGGCCCGGAAACAAGAACATGATGCGATGGTTCATACTGATGATTACTGAGCGCGGATTTGTAGAGTAAAACAAAGTAGCCGTAACTCGACGCAGCAGCAGCTTATCCCACGCACAGCATATGAGGGCTTGTTTAGATGTAAAAGAATTTTGCAAAATGAGTACTGTAGCATTTTCGTTGTTATTTGACAAATAGTGTTCAATCATAGTCTAATTAGGGTTAAAAGATTCGTCTCGTGGATTTCGTCTAAACTGTGTAATTAGTTTTATTTTTTATTTATATTTAATGCTTCATGCATGTGTCTAAAGATTCGATGTGACGGAGAATGTAAAAAATTTTGCAAAATTTTTTGCAAACTAAACTGGACCTGAACTCCATGATATAAGCCGAGGATCCTCGGCAAGCCACACCGAAGACAGCAACAGTATTGCCAGACCAAGGACACTCAGGCGATGCCCTCAAGAGCGAAGCGACGTCAATCCGTCATCAGTTCGGTCGTTTGTTGGTGCTTATCAGCTAACCAATAATGTTTTCCTCTTATAATAAACCAGCGTTAGCCGAATTTATTAGCCAGAAACCAACCATCGAGCTAGTTCCACGGTTTTCACGAAAGTCCCAAGGGACGAGACGACGAGGTCTCAAGGCGACGTCTTCGAGAAGGGAAGCGATACACTATGGCACCGCCATCGCAACCAAAAGTCGAAGACCAAGCACAGTTTTGGCTCGAAGACCTTGACACCCCCAAGCCTAACATCATTCAGACTAAGCAGAACTTTCTCTCAAAGACGACCTTGACAAATGACACCCCACGCCTATAACACCACCATTCCATGATCCGTACCAACCGCCGCCGCCACAGCGCCTAGCCTGGAGCAAGAAGTAGAAAAGACGCACCTCCCCACCGTGGCGCAATTCTTCACATGCCGATTACCAATCCAGTCACAGGATCGTCATTTGGACACCAGAAATTCCTAGGATTATCACAAACCACCTCCGTCATCGCTCATCAAGATGAGTCTTTGATATCCATCCACATCAGGAATGGTGAAAAAAAATGCAACCCCGCAACGTGAGTTTCTGTTGCAGAGTATACTAATACTGAACAACAGAGGTCCATGATTGAAGAGCAGCCTAGCTGTGCCGTGTCTGTCTCTGCTTTGTCGGAAGGAAGCAGAACCCAAATCAGATTTTGAAGAGCCAATCAGTGACTTGTCAAAGATGCTGACAACCACCAATCGCAATCAGAATTAGCGCACAAAGAAGACGTGCCTCCATTGAGCTTCAACTACTAACTCAATTGGACCACTCCAGATTAAGAAGTGAAGACAAGAAAAGACGAGACATGAATGAGAATAGCTCTGAAAGAAAAACTGGACCAAAAAGATTGGGGCATCCGAGGCAAGATTGGCCTTGTATATGACTGAGACAAGTGACAATGTCGCATTTAGAGACCAAATTCCAGGAAAAATGTGTAGCAGGGAAAGACTTGCGGCAGCCAGTGTTATCAGTTACTGCATCCTACCCCATTCTTGCAAGGCTTTAGCTCTTTGCTCGGTTCTCTATCTTTCTTGTAAGGCAGTGGTGTATTCGTTTGATCACTGAGAAAGCATAAAGATATGAAAGCAAGCAAGACACTGATTATTAATACCAAAACGAAAGATTCCAGTGACTTCTCAACATGTAGAGCCATCTCTAGATAATGTGACTGAAAAAAAAGGAAGGGATCCACGATAGCAGACAAAGGACATGTACAGATAGAAAAGAATGAGATATAGGAAAGAATCAACATTGATAGTGAGCTTTGACAGCCAATGCAATGAAATAGCAATGCTTGTAATGAAAACATTCGATCAATAATTCAATGTTCACACAGTTACTGGGCAATTATTGCCAGCCAAGGAAGAATAACTTATGAGCAATGTGTTGATCTCTAAAACATATTTACTGATATACAACGAACGAAGAACAAGAGCCTTACAAGAATGCACCACAGATGGGGAAGAATTGATTTATGTACCAACCGATTCACGGATAAAGCAATGCTCGAAATAAAAACATTCAGTTAGTGAATACACACACAATTTCAATCAAACTGATGCTGAACAAGAATAACTTTTTTGCAATGTGTTGATCATCTTTATTTGTTCCTAGTATACAGCAGTATACAACATGCAAACCTGGCAAAGATAGCAAAATGTATGAAACAGAACTAAATTACAAGAGAACTGGAAGTTCATAAATGGGCAAGATAATATGGCACAGAAAGGACGCGAAACAACAGTAGAGAACTGAATTGCAGAGATTGAATTAGGGAACAATCTTGAAGACCTTCATCTTCTCGATCCATGTGTTGAAAGAGGTGACAGTGTTCCTGAAGCCCAGGAAGCCATGCTCCTTGCTTTTGTTCATGCTGTCCAGAAGCTGGGTCTCGACAGCAAACATGGCATCGACGAACCACCAATTGGTGATCTCGTCAAGCTCTGTGGCTACAAGGTCATTCTCCCTGACAATCTCCGCCCAGACGGCTTCCTTCCCGGCCATGGCGTCCTCGAGCCTGAACCTGTTCTCCTCCCCTTCGTAGCCAGCCCATTCCACCCCGAAGTGATCGGCGAGTATCGGCCACAGCTGCTTCCACTTGAAGAGATCCCCGTTGCTGCAATTGAAGGCCTCGTTCTTGGCGAAGGGATCGACGGCGGCCCAGATCTCGTGCTCGGCGATAAGGTCGGCGTCGGAGGCGTCGCTGAACCCCTCCCAGGTGACCCTGGAGCCGGGCCACCGGAGTGTGGCGCCCTCCTTCTGGCAGATGGCGGCGTAGACGCAGAGGCTGCCGACGAGGTTCATGGCGCTGCGCGGGGAGTAGCCGAAGACGGTGGTGGGGCGGTGCACGGACCAGCTGACGGCGCCGTCGCGGCGGGACACCTGGTCGAAGAGGATGTCCTCCATGTCGTAGTAGAAGTTGGGTTAGTCGAGGCGCGGCATGTCCTCGGTGAAGGGCGGGTCGGGGGTTTCGACCTTGCCGATGGCCTCGAAGGGCCCGACGTAGTGCTTGCGGCCGGTCTGGAGGCAGACGTGGACGAGCGCCGGGCAGTTGGGATACGGAGAGCACGTTGCGGAGCATGGCGGCGTTGGCCTCCCGGTTCTCTTCCTCGGTGGGGCGGCTGGTCCAGGCGACGAAGAAGACGTGGGTGATGTCAGTGAGGGGTTGTAGGGCCTCGGCGACGGCGGCGGAGTCGGCGAGGTCGAGGTGGGTGACGGCGGGGGAGGGGGCCGGGAACCAGGGCGGGAGCGGGCGGCGCGAGACGGCGTTGACCTTCCACGGCCCGCCGGGGCTGTCGGCGAGCGGGAGGATGTCGAGGAGCGAGGTGCCGACGATGCCGGTGGATCCGACGACGAGGACCACGCTCTGGTAGGAGGGCTCGGCCGCCGCCGCTGCTCCTCTGCGATATTTTTAACTTTTTACCGTTATAACGGATATTTTTAACATATTTACTATTAATATATTTTTGTCATTTTCGTTAACATAGCACGCCAACTCCTACTAACAGCGTAGACCGGTAAAAAAAAATGACATTTTTCTTCTTATCTATTCCTTCCATCTCTGTCCATTCCTCGAACCTGGGTCCCTGGCAGATTTGCCCCGAAACGCTCCCACGGGCTCGGTCGCAGGGGCACGCGCGGCGCGGGGCCGGCCGGGCGGGCGCAGCCACCAAGGACACAGGGCTGGGGCACGGCTGCCGAGGTGCAGGGTCGCGGCACAGCCGCCGGCGCAGGGCCAGGGCGCGCGTCTTCCGGCGTGGGGCCAGGGCGGGCGCGGCCGCCGGCACGGAGCCAGCGCGCGGCCGCCTCGGCCGCAGTCGCCGGGGCGTCGTCCTGGCGTCGCGGGACCGAGCGCGTCCGCCGGCGCGGGGCCAGCGCGCGGCGCGGTGCCGGGCGTCCTCTTGCGTGCGCTCGAGTACAGCTGGCTGTGAGCCGGTACAGGCTCTTGCGTGCGTGCATGGGACCAGCTCTTGCGGTACAGGCTCTTGCGTGAAGATTTCCCAGGAAGAAGACGCCAGGAGTAGAAAAGAAAAAGGTAATTAGGGGCCATAGTCGGCCATGGCCAGAGCTCGAGCGAGTAAGGATAGAGATACAAGAAACAGATGAGGGCAAAAATATCATTTCACGTGGCCGGTCTATGCTGTCAGGTTAAGTTGGCGTGCCACGTCAACGAAAATAGTAAGAATATATCAAATACTCTCTCTCGATAGTAAATATGTAGAAGCAAATTTAAGAGTATTGTCTGGAGAGGTGACATCCGTTATAATAGTAAAAAATTAAATATCCCTGCTCGTCCTGCCGCTTCTTGACCGCGCCGATTGCGCCCGTCCACCACCAGCTCATCGCGGCTTGGGTTGGGTTGGATTTGGCAGCGGCGGCGGGAGGCTGGAGGGAGGCTGGGATCAGGATTCGGGAGGGAGAAGAGGAGCAGAGCAGGCGGGGAGAGGAGGGGAGGGGAGGCGGTGATGGAGACCCTTGTCCTCCTTTGTCTTGCTGCCTACGGGCTGTGCCGTGTTGGGTGAATAATTGGGTGTCCGCGTGTTGCCGGCCTGCGGTCTGGCAGCCCTGGGGTCTAATACGTGTGTTGCGCTGCACGGCGAGGCCGGGGGCGGTGCCGATTGCCGAAGCGGCGGCCGACGGTGGTTGCTTTGTTTTTGTTTTTGTCGTGTGATTGTGAGCCGATTCGGATCCGACGCGGCTGCTGTTCATCGTGTCACAGCGCTAGGCCTGTTCATGGTCCGGTTAAACCCTTTTTTTCTTTCAAAATCCAATCTAATCCATAAGAGATGTTATGCTTGCGGTTTGGAACCCACGGTTCGCGGTTTCAATCCGTGGGAGGAAAATATATCCACCTGGCCTATGCGACTGTCACAATCGCTTGCTCGTGCACAATTGCACCACCGTCGTCATCACCGAGCTCAGCGTCAGCAATGGCATGGTCCGCAAGCTCCATGGCCAACTCCGTCCTCGACATGGTTGGTCCACGTCGTCGCCTCCATCTGTCGCGTTCGCCTAGGGGCAATTTGCATGCAGTGACGACAGCAACGACACTTAGGGCGTGTTTGGTAACGCGCCTGTGGCTGGCCTGGCCGGCTGGCCTAGCTATGGCCAGCCACAGTCAGGTCCAAGTGGTGCGAGTCACCGTGTTTGGTTGCCAGCGCACAAGTATGGCTACCTTGCATAGGATTCTGGTAGCCTTGCCACCATAGAAGTCTTCAATGGAATTTCATCGAGCAGTTGATGGGCGGCGGCGAAGGGGCTGGTGCGGCACTGGTCAGGGACGAGGGGCAGGAGGAGGAGGAGGACGAGGACGAGGAGCAGCACTGGTGATGGCCGGCGCGCCTGAGCAGGCTCGCCGCGCTGGGGATGGGCACCGCGCCGGCCAGGCCGCGTCGCGGCACGCCATCGCACCGGCAGCTGCGCCCGCGCCAGGGCAGCCCGTCGCACCAGGGTCACTCGCCACGCACCGGTGAGGCGGGCATGGTCGCGCACGGAGATGGGATGGATGGAACCCGAAGCCAGGAAGGAGGAGGAGGGAAGATAGAGGGAGTAGAGCGGCTTGGCTCGACAGCGCAGGGTGGCGCCCCTGGTGGCGCTCGGTCCGGCGCGGAGGGTCTCCGGCGACGACGAGGGAGCCGACGGTTGTGAAGGGGAGGTGCCCCGTGCACCGCCGCCGCTGATGAAGGGGAGGGCAGTCACCATGTGCTGCCGCCGGTGGACAAAGCCGCGTGCCGCCGGTCTCCGGTCGGGCAAGGGGTGGGGCCCCGCGCCGCCGGTCGGGAATGGAGCGGGGCCGCGCGCCGCCAGTCAAGGAAGGGGCAAGGCCGCCGGTGGTGGGAGAGGGGCGCTACCGCCGCCATCGATGCGGGAGGGCAGGCGCGTTGTGGCATCCGCGAGGGGAGGGTGCTCGCCGTCGGCATTGGTGGGGTTGGGGAGGGACGTCGCGCATGGATCCGCGAGGGGAGGCGGCTCGCTGCTGCCATCATCACCATTAAGGAAGGGGCCGCCGGAGTAGAGACCGTGAAGGGAGCGCAGCTGTACAGCCAGGACGACCGCCCCGCCTGATCCGCCAGCCGCCGCTCGCTTCCTCGCTCCGTCTCGCTACAGTCCGCAGGAGGTGAGAGGTCGGGAGGTGACCCGCTCGCTCACCCAAACGCTCCATCTCGCTCCAATGGGCCAGGCCGTCAAAAAACGACCCCCCTTCCGTTTCCTGGGAGCCAGGCCACTGGGTGCTTTGAGCAGCGTGCGAGCCGGGCTGAGGAACAGTAAAAGGCCACCAAACATGGGAGTTACATCCCGAGAGCGCAGCCGGGCTGCTGGGCCACCGCACCAAACACGCTCTTAGAGAGAAGCTGGCGGCGATGCCCTCCATCGAGTTCGAGTAGGTGCTGGCCGGATGGTGCTCGGGCTTGAGACGGGGTCCACAGCTTCCTTCTGGTCGCCGAGATCAGCGTGCTCCTAGCCATGTGTCTCCTGGATGGTGCAGTTGTAGATGTTGCTTCTTTCCTTTTGGTTGGGCTTGGGCATGGATATAGCTTGCCAAATCATCGGTTGATTCTTGGAAAAAGGTTTGCAAAAAAATAGATTATCTCTTTCTAATTGCTTCTTGGTACCCGGGCAGATTGAAGCACAAACTCGGGTGGATCCCTGGCCACCCGGTCATCGGGGATCTCGCCGAGATCTTAGCGGCAGTGGCGTCATGTCCTCGACCACATCGCAGATGGCTCCCAACAGCTGGGGCTCGATGGTGAGTAGCCGGAGTACGGAGAAGGAATCGGCCGCGGTGAAGATGCAGAAGAGATTGATGTGGTAGCACCGGCAGCCACACCTCGTCCAAAGGGTTTAAGCGGTCTGGAACCTGATGTAAATAAGTCCGGATGTGCCCTCCAAATACGGATTGAAACCGGGCTATGTACAGGTCTACACAACACCATGCTTGTCATCCTGTTCGCTTAGAACTTATTAGCCTAGCTTATCAGTATTTTTCTCGGATGACAAAACAGCCGTAGCAGGCTCATCAGCCGAAAAACCATCAGTCGAACAACAGCGGTCGAATATCGCGCTGGAGGCTTTGTGCAAACGACCCTCAGGCCGTGTCGTCGTTTGTCACTCCCCTAGGGTTGTATGTGCAACCGCTGGAACATGTGGAGCACGCTGCACTGCTACCTCTCTTTGGACTTTGTTGGTAGGTGATGCGATGCCATAGGTACAGAAAAAAAAACTCAGAAGCATCAATGCCAATCGTCTACAGTTTTTTTTTTGTGGGTATAGTACGTGACGAGAGCCGGGAATCAGCGTGCGCAAGTCTTACAATTGATTTCTTGCATCCATGTAAACGGGCTTGTTTACTTCTTAGGCGCCTGCGCTGCCGCCGCCCATTTTCTAACGCCTCAAGTTGGTATACATCCTGGCCTATGGAAAAACTCTAAAGACCAAAATATCTGTGGTCCCTGAACTTGACCGACGGGGTCATTCAGGTCCCTGAACTTATAACGTAATATCTGTGGGTCTCTAAATTTGACATACGGTGTCATCTAGGTCCCTGAACTTTTAAGGTGATCACCGTAGCTCCCTAAACTTGGCCGACGGTGTCATCCCGATCCCTGAACTTTCAAGATGATCACCGCATGTCCCTAAACTTGGCAAGCGGTGTTATCCCAATCCAAATATGGTCTAACCTACTCTATAAGCTGGCATGACACGCTGACTGTAGTTAGATGTGGATCCAACATGTGTCAATTAATCAATCATTATTTATATAATATTTATCATAAAATATAAATTATATAAAATAATTTACATCAGCAAAAAATAAATTAAAGTACTAAAATAATTTACAAAAACAAATATATTAGGTTTAAACTAAAATAGAAAAATACTAAAATTAATTTAATATTTATGTATCATTAATAGTATTAAAATAATATTAAAATTCCCATAGTATTAAAAGTTTTCTCTATTAAAAGATACTTTTAATTTTAGTATTATTTTAAAAGTTTTAATAGTAGTATTATAGAAGTAACTTTTCTCTATTATTAAAACTATAAAACTATACTACTTTTAATAATAGTTTTATGATATTAGAACTTTTAATAATAGTATTATAGTATTAAAAGTTATAATAATATTGTCGGTGTTTCGAGTTACCAACGAGTAAATTTGTATTTGCACGTCTGGCTTACATGGTGTGCTTAGAGGACATGAGGTTTATACTGGTTCGGGCAGAAAGTCCCTACATCCAGTTCGTCGCTGCTGCTCGTGTTACTAGCACTGAAAGTTTGTAGCAGGGGTTACAAACAGGCAAGAGAGGGAAAGGATCCCAAGTCTCTAGTGAAAGGAGTGAACGGGTGCTGAGAGCTCGAACGCTGCTCAGTCGTGTGTTCGTGTCGTGCTTTTGTGTTTTCTATCTTGTGGTCTGGGTCTTGTGCGGATCTGGCTCTGATTGGTTTTCGATGGGTTAATCCCTTTCATGGGACGCCCTGCTTTCCCTTTTATAGGCCAATGAAAAGCACGGATTACAACAGAAGAAAAGAGAAGAACGAGAGAGAAGAAGGCCTTCAGGATCGTCGGGTCCTTTTTCTCCTTCAAGCGGGTCCCGCTGATCCTATAGATGTCAACAAGGACAGCTCCACGTCGCGGCCCCGTCCGTCACTGGCAGCATGCGCTGGCGTCGTCTGTCGGTCATGGCATTCCATCCCGTCCCGGCGGACGTCGTGGTGAACTGACGCGCATGTCATCGTTTGTACGAGGGTTAGACAGAACAGCACCGGTACGCCCGACGCAGTTCTTGATGTGAACCTTCAGGTATGGCCCGTCATGGTCACGGGTTACATTGAGGCGTGCCAGTCCCTTCCTTGATGTCAGAGTTTTGACCCAGATCCATACGCTTGGACCTAGAGTGGTTGACAGGGGTATGGGTCCCCGTCGGGCGAGACGGAGCACGAACCCAAGGGGTCGGGCGAGACGGAGCTCGCGGCCTTGGGGTCGGGCGAGACAGAGCACGAACCCAAGGGGTTGGGTGAGACAGAGCCCGCGACCTCGGGGTCGGGCGAGACGGCGATCGCGGCCTTAGGGTCGGGTGAGGCGGAGCCCGCACCCAAGGGGTCGTGCAAGATGGAGATCGCGGCCTCGAGGTCTGGGGAGGCGGAGCCCGCCCCTAGAGGTCGGGCGAGGTGGAGCCCGCGCACCTTGGGTCGGGCGAGGTGGAGATCATGGCCTCGAGGTCGGACGAGGCAGAGCCCGCGCACCTAGGGTCAGGCGAGGTGGAGCTCACACCAAAGGGGTCGGGCGAGACGGAGATCGCGGACTCAAGGTCGGGCGAGGCGGAGCCCACCCCTAGAGGTCGGGTGAGGCGGATCCCGCGCACCTGGTGGTCGGTTGGAGCTGTAGGCGTGCTCTTAACTACTCGGATGAATCAATGTTGATGACCATTAACTTCTCTTCAGGTACCCTAGTATTGGTCCCCGACAGTAGCCCCCAAAACTACGGAGGAGTAGAATACTCCTTCGGAGGCTTTTTTGAATGGGAGGACTCTAAGGGCCTCGGCCTTCTTTTGTTGCCCACGGCGTGTCTTGGGGACGGCGAGTCCCTTTCGTCGTAATCGGACCCCTCGGGGGATAGCCGTGAGATTTGGTGGGCCGAAAAAGGTCTTTCCTGATTTCGACCCCTATGGGGGTCTGTAGTTCTACAACCGCACGTTTGGTCTTCTTGCGAGTCCAACTTTCTACGAGCCCCGCCCGTAGCAGAGGTTCGGTTGAGGGTCGGCTCATCTTTGTGATCGTCTTCCCTCAAGTGTTTTTTCTGATAAAAATGGAGGGGCTGAGCCGTGCCATGATTTTCCTCTATGGACGAATCTTGGTACTCGGAGAGCTATTAATGGGCTAGCCCGAGTGGGGCCCCAGCATCCCGTTCACGGGGGTCTAGCTTGGGTCAGATGGTGACCGACTCTAGATTCTCAGCGGTCAATCCATATAGTTCTCGGGTCCGTTTGACCGGTCCCGAGGTCTCTATGCCTTTCTTTGAGGAAAAACCGTGGATCGTATCCAGCCGAGACTCAAACGTGGGCTGGGATGCCCTTGGCGCTCGTGCGCCCAGGCACTGACCGCTAGCGGGCCCATCCCTTTCCAGCCCTCACTCTAAATTTGCCCGAAGCGGTTATCAAAGCCATCGGTGGGCCAACCTTCGAACTCCTAGGCCTAGACGGGCTGTAGGAGCGTTTTCAGCTCCGTATCCCTCTTACTTGTGACGGGTCGTGGCCCATTCGGGGAGGTGAAATGTCCGGCGCATTTTCTGAGGGGACAGCCATAGGTTGCGTGCGCACGCCCCACGACGAGACATGGTGACAGGTCATGGCAGGCGCGCAGATCTTGGCGGGCGGTTGGTTTCCTCACACCCGTCGTCCCTATAAATTCAAAGGGTTAGCCCTCCGAGTTTCATACGCACGCCTACATCCTTACCTCCGCCGCCACGCCATCGTCGCCAACGCTTAGGTTTCCTACCTCCGCATCTCCGCCGACGTTGAGCTCGCATCCATCCGCCCCCACCTCCAATGGATTTGTGATGCCGTTCCAACATCACCTCCTAGCGCATGGAGGGCCTCATCTGTCGCGGTCTTCTCCACGTGCGGACCTCGGCCGAGGAGTGGTTGCTGCCTGACGATGAGGATTTGCCATCACCGCCCGACGGCTACGTGGTGTCATTCG